TTTTTTTTTACTTCCTTGTCTGGTTTTCATATCAGGGTAACATTGGTCCCATGTGGCAAGTTTGAAAGTATTCCCTCCCTCTCTATTTTTTTTTGAATATTTTGAGGAGTGTATATATTGTTTCTTCTTTAAATGTTTGTGATAATTCAGCAGTAAAGCCATCGAATCCTGGGGTTTTTCTTTGACGGGAGAGCTTTAATTACAGCTTTAATTTTGTGACTTGTTTTTGTCTCTTCAGCGGTTGGTTTCCTGCTGGGAAACACCAGAGTCAAAGTGATCTTGGGTCGAGGCTTTGTGCAGACGATATTGTGGCATCAGCCACTTCTATGTGTTTGATGGAATGGAAACAGAGGCTGAGTGTGGAAAAGGAATGACTACTGGCCCAAAAGAAGGGGACCCTCCAGAAGTGTCTCTGGTCTCAAGGTTCTATCAGGCTGCAGAAATTTGGCTAAAGGAATGGGTGGTGGGAAGGGAGTACAGAGTTTGCTCCTAATCTGGGGCAATACAGCTGCATGAATTCCTTCCAGCTCTCCAAATTGAGCTTAGGGTTTGCAAGCACTGAGGAATTATTTTGTAGAAAGGATTGATGATATGTGTGATTGCCATGGGGCCTCCTGTGGTTATTTTATTTAACTTTACTCAACAGGGGTAATCTCATGTGATTCTGGGTCTGTGTGAGCCTTTCAGTATGAAGCTGCAGAGACAGGGTGCTTTCACACAGCCCTACTGGGCTTCTAATAACCACAGGGACCTCTCCTCTCCCCTGCTTCCTTCGAGGTCTCTCCTTTCAACTATCCAGTCTAGTCTTAGCTATTCATTTCATTCTGTGGTTCTGCCGTATGGGATAGACAAATGTCAGGCATGTCTATTCAGCTGTGATGCTAATGCATGGACATTGGATATTCCTAGCCATCTCCAAAAACTGTCATCCTCTGTGTATCACCTAAATATGGCATGTCAATCTGTATCTTGTCGACCCTGAGTAACAGACACAAAGAGACTCTAAAACGTAATATTTATTCCAGGATGTGTATTGCAATTGAAATGTGTGTGGGTGCATTCAGGTTGGTAAAGGCAAATAAAGAATTAAGGAAAAATAGGGAAGTTTACATCAGTGGTTTTGACGCAATTATCCTGGGCAGGAAGGATCAGTCACAGGGTTGACATTGCTGTGAGTTTGAACAGGGAGTTGCTGGGCAGATACACTTGGAGAAGTAATTATTTAAAGGCTGTGGTGGCCTCTGTGCAAGGTTGTGGCTGTGCAGAGTCTACTTATGACAGTTCTTGCTCTCAAGAACATGTGTGTTAGACCCTCCTTCATGGCATTCCACAGCTTCATTCATTAGAGTTTTAACATAAGTGGCTCCATTTTGATTCTGATACATTTCACAAGCTCTTTGTAACACTACTTCTGAAATAGATGACTCTGACAGTTTGCATAGAACAGGATTAATTCCACATCCTCACCCCATTTTGTTCAAGTAAATTTATCCCTTCACTATTAATGGCCAATTGCATTCCCAGATGAGTCTACACACCACATAGTGGAGGGTCCTGAGCAGATGGGGAGAGAAGGAAGCCCCATCAGCCTCTCCCACGTGGCTGCAGGAGCCACAGCCTGAGCCCCACCTGCACTCCAAGAAAATGCCTTGAGGCCTGGAATGTATACCTTGGAGACTATCTGTTTCTTCTTCAGGAAGCAGGAAAAACAAATATAAAGGCAAGAACAAACACTGCAAAGAAAGAAAATGAAATAGAATCAAAAGAAGCCCCAGATCACTGCTGATGCTGATTGGCTTTAGTGTCAGGAGAAGAGTCAGACATGAAATTTGTGAGGTTCTACATGACACTGACCCTGGCCCAGCCTCTTGGTTGGCTGTGATCTAACTGCTTAAAGACTGTTCTCGTATGGGAATCTCCCTGAGGTTTCTGTCCTGGGTCTGATTGGAGAAGACTCACCAGGCGCCACTGAGTTTCCTCAGGACTCTGATGCTGGTGACCACGGTTGAGGAATGCTCATCTCTGTAAGCGTCATCTGCATTTTGTGCATGTGAGGACAGGTCCTCATATTAAAATGATCTTTTCAATATTATGTTGAGAGGGATAGCATTAAGAAAAATACCTAAGGTAGATGACGATGTGACAGATGCAGCAAGCCACCATGGCATGTGTATACCTAAGTAACAAACCCGCTTGGTCTGCACATGTTCCCCAGTACTTAAAGTGTAATTAAAAAAAATAAAAATATGAAGAGATGATAATAGTAAGCACAGAATTCTAAACTTGGAAAGTTTCACTACAGAAACTGTCAGAAGAAGATGAAGACCCACATCCTAACAGGAAATCAGCTTCCATCTGCACCTGCCTCTGGGGTTGACTCTGATCAGTGGGTCCTGAGTGTGCCCCCTGCAGCCGATTCCCCCGAGTTTTCCTGCAGGAGGTTTGTGTCTGGGCTCACACGCGCCTCCCCTCACTATGTATATTGCACAGTAATACACAGCCGTGTCCTTGGCTCTTAGGCTGTTCATTTGCAGAAACAGCGTGTTCTTGGCGTTGTCTCTGGGGATGGTGATTCAGCCCCTCACAGTCTGCGTAGTATGTGCTACCATCATTACCAATAGCTGAGACCCACTCCAGTCCCATTCCCGGAGCCTGGTGGACCTAGCTCATGGCATAGCTACTGAAGGTGAATCCAGAGGCTCCACAGGAGAGTCTCAGGGTCCCCCCAGGCTGAACCAAGCCTCCCCCAGACTCCACCAGCTGCACCTCACACTGGACAGCTGCAAACCCTTGTCAGAAACTGTTACACATATTTACTGTTTACCTCACTCATATCCATTCACACTCATTTTGCTATTTCTCCATGAATTACCTTTCAAAATAGCAACAAGTAAAATCTACCTCAGCATAATCTCCATGGTGAGTTCAGTCTCTGTGTTCATTCGTGATCACCAAATGCAAACACCTGAAAATCCCAGGGCTGCGCTCCTCTCCCAGAGCTGGAGGATCAGGGCTGGGCTGGTTTTCATGAACAGAGGGAGGGCTCTATTTGCATGTTTCCTGCTATATAGCAAGATCTGGGGTAAGACGCCTGAGGAGAGAGTGGGGCTCAGAGCACAGGACAGTGTCCTGCGGGAGATTTGTGATATTGATGGCATTTGGAATTGTGGTTTCTTATTATAAGTTTGTTCTATGATAAAACCTTAAAACCTATGAAAGTTATCATTTTGTAATTTCTGTTTTAAAACAGTTATATTGTGGTACAATATATCTGCATAAATTGCATATATTTAAAGTTAGCACCAATCATCTTTTATTTTTACATATGTAGAGAAAACACGGTATGTGGTATTAATGTTATTTCCACGTTACAGGTGAAAAATCACCATCAAAAGCACAGATGGGTTGTAATATAAATATACAGCTGAATTTTATTTGGCTTTGAAAAGAAGGAAATTCTGACATTTGCAACAACACAGATGCACCTGGAGGACATGATTCTAACTGGAATAAGTCAGATGCAGAAAGGCAAATGCTTCATGATCTCATTTACATGTGGGATCTAAAATGTCCATGCTCTTAAAGCAGAGAGTAGAANACACACCACACAGTGGAGGGTCCTGAGCAAATGGGGAGAGAAGGAAGCCCATCAGCCTCTCCCATGTGGCTGCAGGAGCCACAGCCTGAGCCCCAGCTGCGCTCCAAGAAAATGCCTTGAGGCCTGGAATGTATACCTTGGAGACTATCTGTTTCTTCTTCAGGAAGCAGGAAAAGCAAATATAAAGGCAAGAACAAACACTGCAAAGAAAGAAAATGAAATAGAATCAAAAGAAGCCCCAGATCACAGCTGATGCTGATTGGCTTTAGTGTCAGGAGAAGAGTCAGACATGAAACTTGTGAGGTTCTACATGACACTGACCCTGGCACAGCCTCTCTGGTGGCTGTGATCTAACTGCTTAAAGACTGTTCTCGTATGGGAATCTCCCTGAGGTTTCTGTCCTGGGTCTGATTGGAGAAGACTCACCAGGCACCACCGAGTTTCCTAAGGACTCTGATGCTGGTGACCACGGTTGAGGAATGTTCATCTCTGTAAGCGTCATCTGCATTTTGTGCATGTGAGGACAGGTCCTCATATTAAAATGATCTTTTTAATATTATGTCAAGAGGGATAGCATTAAGAAAAATGCCCAAGGTAGATGACGGGGTGACAGATGCAGCAAGCCACCATGGCATGTGTATACCTAAGTAACAAACCCGCTTGGTCTGCACATGTTCCCCAGTACTTAAAGTGTAATTTAAAAAAATAAAAATATGAAGAGATGATAATAGTAAGCACAGAATTCTAAACTTAGAAAGTTTCACTAGAGAAACTGTCAGAAGAAGATGAAGACCCACATCCTAACAGGAAATCAGCCTCCATCTGCACCTGCCTCTGGGGTTGACTCTGATCAGTGGGTCCTGAGTGTGCCCCCTGCAGCCGATTCCCCCGAGTTTTCCTGCAGGAGGTTTGTGCCTGGGCTCACACGGGCCTCCCCTCACTATGTATATTGCACAGTAATACACGGCCGTGTCCTTGGCTCTTAGGCTGTTCATTTGCAGAAACAGCGTGTTCTTGGCGTTGTCTCTGGAGATGGTGATTCGGCCCCTCACAGTCTGCGTAGTATGTGCTACCATCATTACCAATAGCTGAGACACACTCCAGTCCCATCCCCGGAGCCTGGCGGACCTTGCTCATGGCATAGCTACTGAAGGTGAATCCAGAGGCTGCACAGGAGAGTCTCAGGGTCCCCCCAGGCTGAACCAAGCCTCCGCCAGACTCCACCAGCTGCACCTCACACTGGACACCTGCACACCCTTGTCAGAAACTGTTACACATATTTACTGTTTACCTCACTCATATCCATTCACACTCATTTTTCTATTTCTCTATGAATTACCTTTCAAAATAGCAACAAGTAAAATCTAGCTCAGCACAATCTCCATGGTGAGTTCAGTCTCTGTGTTCATTCATAATCACCAAATGCAAACACCAGAAAATCCCAGGGCTGGGCTCCTCTCCCAGAGCTGGAGGATCAGGGTTGGGCTGGTTTTCATCAGCAGAGGGAGGGCTCTATTTGCATGTTTCCTGCTATATAACAAGATCTGGGGTAAGACGCCTGAGGAGAGAGTGGGGCTCAGAGCACAGGACAGTGTCCTGTGGGAGATTTGTGATATTGATGGCATTTGGAATTGTGGTTTCTTATTATAAGTTTGTTCTATGATAAAACCTTAAAACCTATGAAAGTTATAATTTTGTAATTTCTGTTTTAAAACAGTTATATTGTGGTACAATAGATCTGCATAAATTGCATATATTTAAAGTTAGCACCAATCATCTTTTATTTTTACATATGTGGAGAAAACATGGTATGTGGTATTAATGTTATTTCCACGTTACAGGTGAAAAATCACCAGCAAAAGCACAGATGGGTTGTAATATAAATATAGAGCTGAATTTTATTTGGCTTTGAAAAGAAGGAAATTGTGACATTTGCAACAACACAGATGCACCTGGAGGACATGATTCTAACTGGAATAAGTCAGGTGCAGAAAGGCAAATGCTTCATGATCTCATTTACATGTGGAATCTAAAATGTCCATGCTCTTAAAGCAGAGAGTAGAATAGTGGGTCCCAGGACCTGTGAGGAGAGGGAAAAAGGGTGATGTTGGACAAACGGCACAGAATTTTAGTTGTGCAGGTTGAATGACTTCTGGAGATTTAATGTACAACAATATTCCTGTATTTAATACTGTATAATAAACGTGATTTTTGCTAAAAAGGTAGATATTAGGTGTCCTCATGTGACACACACACATGCAGTGCATTCAGAATAAATGGTAGCTCTGAGAGAAGATGGATATACAAATGACTTTGACCATGATGAGCATTTCAGAATGTGTATTTGATACGATTTTTATCTGTGTCCTGTCCCAAATCCCAAGTTGCAAAATAATCCTCAATTGTGAAGGTCAGACCTGGTGGGAGATGACTGGGCCATGGGGTGGTTATTTCATGGATGGTTGGGAACCAGATCCTGGTGCTGTTCTCATGACAGTTTGTGAGTTCTCACAAGATCTGATTGTCCAATAGTGTGTAGACACCTCCCCCTTTCCTGTGGCTCCTGCTCTGGCCATGTGATGTGCCTGCTCCCCTTTGTCTTCTGCCACGAATCTAACTTTCCTGAATCTTCCCAGAAGGACACACCACTACACTTCTACAGTCTGCAGAAACAGGAGCCAGTTAAACATCTTTTTTTTCCCCTCAGATTACTCAGTCTTGGGCATTTATTTATAGCAATATGAGAACTGACTAATACATCATAAAGATATCAAGTGGGGCACCTTAAACACATATATTATTAAAATATTTCAGTCATACCTTAAAAACTAAAAAAATCAAACTTATTTTTAGAAAAAAGCAATACATACTTCATATTTTCTCAATAAAAATGAGACAACATAGGAAAACATACACTAAGACATTTCTAACAGCTTTCCTTATAATAGTCATCAACTGGAAAGAAATTTAAAATCTATTAACAAGAAAATAAACCAAAATATTGTTATTTATTTACTTAATGGACTGACTCAGATGTAAAATCTTTCTCCTCTCTCTCTCCCTCTTTCTCCATATGTACATGAAAACATTGAGATTTCATATCAGAATCAATCCATTAATTGAATAAATGACAATATCTTGATCTAATTTTATATATTAAATAACATGAATTAACCTCAAAAATACTAAAGTAGCCCCTTACCAAGATAGGTCTATAACGTTTGATTACATTTATATAAAGTTCAAAACAGAAAAAAACATAGGTCTATAGTATCAGAAATCAAAACATTTCCCCAATGTAGGTGTTGAACGCTGGCACAAAGAAAGTCCCGTGCTGGGAGGATGGACTTGTTTTTCAGGTTACCTTAGGTTTTGGGAACAAGGATATTCACATTTGACAGAAACTCTCCAGTGACACATTTCAAATATATGCATTAATTCTTACATGGAAATTTTATCTCATAAAAACAAAAAAATGTAGAATAGTTTAAAATTCAGCAAATAGTAAAATTAATATTAAACACTATTCAAACTATGAACATTATTACATGAATTAATAAAATGCATTCAGGTATGCCTATTAAAATTAAATCTCAGAAATCAAAAAAAATGGTAACAACTGAAACTTAATAAGCATACATTTCACAGAGAAGAAAAAAATTGTCAAGACATTTGGAACATGTATTTTTAATCAAATGTCACTATATTATTTATACAATATTGTAACCTATGTCATTAGTGTAAATTACTAATATTTTGTGTGATATTACAACAAAGAACAACTTTAAAAGATAAAAACATATTTGAGAGCACATGAACTAAATTGAATGTATTTCCAATGTTGGTCCAACTTTTACACCTGTAATAATACCCTGGTTTTGAGTGGGGCTTTGGAAAAAGTAATTTTTGTAAATTGAACAACAATTTATTAAGCACCTACTTTGTACCAGGCATTGTGCTAGGTACCCTTACTGTGTGCTGTTCCCAGACCAGAATCATCTACTTAGAAATTAAAACCAAGACCAGAACCATTGTTGCAACCATAAAAATCGGGGGGCAGGAGGCCGTACATGGATGCAGGTGATTCCCAGGCCAGAAAACGCACCCACCAGAAACTTGTTTTCCAACTCTTGATAAAGTCTCCACAAAACAGTTGTTTTAAAGCTTCTCAGTGTTGACAGAGAGGAATATTGTTGTCTCTGTGCCCCAGTGGGGCAGGCGCCTGGTGGACATTCATATATTCTGAATGCTATTTGATAAAAAGAGCCCAATGGCCTCCTCTAAAGAATATCAATATTTGGATTAATCAGAGCTACTTGGGAGGCTGAGGCAGGAGAATTACCTGAACCTAGGTGGTAGAGATTGCAGTGAACCAAGATTGCACCATTGCACTCCAGCCTGGGCAATAGAGGAAGACTATGGCTGGATGAAAAAAAAATGCTTTCTTTTTCAGTTTGAATGGTTGCACCAGCCTTTATGAAAAATATAAACGTCCCTGTCCTGACTGCCTATATGTTTAACGTAGATCTAGTTCTGGATTCCTGAGTCAGAATCTTCCAGTTGTCCACAACCTCACAAAGCCAGAGAAGCGAGAGGAGATTTATCTTCTGGAAAGAAGTGAGTGGATGGTACAGCTGGTTTGGAAACATGACAAACTGCACCTGCACTTACAGAAGAACACACACAGGAGAACGACCTAGTGCTGTGTGGTCTAGCACACACGTGTGGGACTCACGGGCGGGCCCAGGCCTCGCCAGCCCTATTTATCTGCTGCGGATGGAGAGGCCTGGGCGGAAGTCGGGCAGGGCGTCCAACTTCCGGTGCAGCAGGTCCGGAAGCTGTTCGCCTCCACCTCCAGGTGGCGCTGTGGGCGTTTGCTCGCCTCAGTGTCTTTAGGGAGCGCTCTCTGACTTCCGGGTTTTCATTCTCTCTCGGCCGCCTGGAACTTCTCAGACACAGCCGCGCTCTGACAGGAGCTGAGGCGGGATTTCACTTTGTTTTCGGAGACCTTTCAGCTCCGTCTCCTGTTCTCGGAGCTCCGCCTCCAGCCCCTCCGTCCTCCTCTTGAGCTGCGTGTTCTCTTCCTCCCTGTGGGTGTCCCGGTCTCTTCCCCGGCTCCGCCCTGGCCACCGCCTCCTGCAGCGCTGTGGTCCGTGGGGCGTGGCTCTCCTCAGGGGCTGCGGCTGCAGCTCCCGCTTCTGCTCGGCGGCCGCGCTGTGCGTCACGGAGATCTCAGCGCGTTCTTCTCAGGCTTCCGGTGCGTGTCGGCTGCAGCGGTGGAGAGGCCTTTTCATCGCCGCCCTTGACACTGGATGCCACAGCAGAAGATGGGGCTTCACGCCCAGATCATTCGGAACCATGACTCCAGCTCTCGGTTTTCTCCTGGGCCTTGTCTTTGGGCATCTCGGCAGCTTCTTTCAGCTCCTGGAATTTCTCTGCAAACGTTTCCAGCTGCTGCTCAGAGGAAAACCCCAAACCAAACACCGTGTGGGCTCTGCTGTCGGCCCCCTGCCCAGACTTCTGTGGCGTTTTGGGGAAGGTCATATTTGGTGCGATTGTGCAGTTGATGGTCACCTTGGCTCCGCCCACGCTGATGATTCGATAGCGGTTCCTTGTGACGTCATAGAAGGAGGAAACGGTGACCGCTACTTGCTCACAGCATCCAGTTCTTCTTGATGTTGGGATCAATCTGGAAGACTTGGGCTCGGGTGAAGTTGGGCTGTTCTCCCAACTCCAGCACTGCTCCGGCGGCCACTGTGACCTGGCCTCTCTGGCTCCCTCTGAGGCACATGCTGCAGCCCCTGCACACCAGCCTCAGCCCTGGCACTGCTCCAATCTGTGGGGCTGCCTGGGCGTGTGCTCTGGAAAAAATAATTCTAAGAGATAAAAGAATAATGAAGCCATCAGGAGGCAGCAGGGTGAATGAGTTTCTCAGGACAATCTAATCACACCTGGACAGGGAGAAAAGTTCTTGACCTACGATGGATTTAAAAATATGTGGTTAAAATTTCATTGAAAATTGAGGAATTTTGACTGTATATATAGGGTACAAAGCTATATTATGATTTATGAATGCAATATGGAATAATTGAATTGAACCAATTGACATATATATCACCTCCAATCCTTATTTGTGTGTGTGTGTGTGACAAGAACATTTGAAATTTGTTCTTGGCTATTTTAACATAACCAGTAGACTATGTTTAAACTTACAAATAGACATCAATTTATGTAAACTATAGAGAATGGCTGAAATCAGTTATGAATTACTATAATTTAAATTTTGTTAATCATTAAGTTTTATTCTTTGGGACATTTCATAGTTATTTTATAATAAGATTAAATATTAAAGACTGCAGATGTATTCATAAGTTTGTGTATTTACACATATGTCTATAGATGGAAATTTATGTCCCCATAGCTATGTAGTTGCTGATATCAACAGTTGTTAATAAAACTCTAGAAGAATAAGTGCAAATTATTAGGAAAAATTATTTCTTGAAGGTATATGTATTTTTAAAATGCCCCTACCTATAAACTTAAAAATTACTAAAGCACAAATAGTTAAAAATTATTATAAATAAGTATATTAAAATATCTCAACCTCGTAAGACTCCATAGTCCTGCAAAAACAAGTCAGCCTCCTGCAGCTGAGACAGGAAACCTCCCCCTGCACATGCTCTTGGAAACTGTCCTGTCCTCAGTCGGCGCCCCCTGGTGGCCCCATGCGCCCTTGCAGGGAGGTTTGTGTCTGGGCTCACACTGACCTCCACTCACTGTGTTTCTAGTACATTAATGGACGGCTGTGTCCTCGGTTTTAAGGCTGTTCTTTTGCAGATAAAGCGTGTTCTTGGAGTTGTCTCTGGAGATGGTGAATTGGCCCTTCACGGAGTCTTTGTAGTTTGTTCTACCCCCATCGGGATTAATTTCTCCAACCCACTCCAGCACCTTCCCCGGAACCTGGTGGACCCAGTATATCCAGAATTTCCTGAAGGTGAATCCAGAGGCTGCACAGGAGAGTCTCTGGGACCCCTAAGGCTGTACCAAGCCTCCCCCAGACTCCACCAGCGGCACTGCACACTGGACACCTGCAAACACAGAGACACCCTTGTCATTAACTGCCACACATATCCACTGTTTCTCTCACTCATGTCCACTCACACTCAAAATCTATAGTTCTCCATAAATCACCTTTTATGATAGTAAAAAGAAAAAGCCAGCTCAGCCCAGACTCCATGGTGAGTCCTCTGTGTTCAGTGCTGATCACTGAATAGAAACACCTGAGAATTCTGGGGCTGTGCTCCTTTCCTAGAGCTTCAGGGTCAGAGCTGGGCTGGTTTTTATGAGCAGAGGGAGAGCCCTATTTGCATGTCTCTTGCTACAAAGCAAGCTCTGGGGTAGGGCAGCTGAGGAGAGGGCCGTGCCCAGAGCGAATGAGAGTGTCCTGGAAAACATTGGCGGTAATCCAATCTCTTGGGAAAATATAAATTCAGATTATGTGATTGTGTGTTGATAATCATTTAACAGTCATCATCTTATTTTACTATTACATAATTGCCAAATATCTTTAATTCAAGTGTCAATGTTGCATGTTTAGAAAAGATAAATTATACACAGAACAGTGCAGTTGTGCAATGTGTCCAATATCACACATCTGGACAGAGTTAGTCCCATCTGTGCCTGTGTCTCCAATTACTAGAAGAAACTTCTCCCCTGATACACTGCTCCAGGGCAGTGTGGGACGTGTCTAGGGAGGTTTCAGGATGTCCCACCTATGATAACTACTTTATGTGATTTTGCCTTTTCTAGTGTTTATCTGAAATATAAAATATAAAATCAGTGTTCACATGTGTGTGTCTTCAGGAGTCCATGATTAGTCAAGTGCCAGTAGTCATCTTTTTCTTTCTCTTTCTTAGACAATAGATTTATTTTTGTAGCAGCTTTATTAAAACCACTCTGTGGTTTCCCTGCTTGGTTGAGCCACCCCTTCTTGTCCCCTCCCTGCTACTCCCCAGGTTTTCCTTCTTTGCTCATCATCTTATCCTGTTATAGACTTCTATTCCTGGAGACCCAACAGTAGTCTTGAGTGATGATATCACCCATGTCCTGCTGATATTTTTTTTTTTACTTTTACTTAAATTTTTAAAGCTAACCTGGACATTACAATTGGTATTTCAAATTTATAACAACATCTTAGCATGCCTGAGGACTTTTGTATCACACACACATATACACACACACACACACACCCCAGTCTCCAAATACCCTTTCAATTTCCTACAGGGAAAAACATGAGCCTATTGTAGGAATTGTTTGCATTGGCCATGGGAACCATGATGAGGCATCCTCTTCTGAGGTTACAGGATCTCCACGTCCAAGGAGCAGAGAGACTGCAGGTAAGTAGAAGCCCAGTGTTTCTGGATCTCGGAGAAGAATCATGGGACACCAAGTACAGCAGGACTGACCAAGAGGACCAGCTGTGGGAGACTTGGTATGAGGAGGACAAGGTGAGGCCCGGTATTATGTCTCTTGTCCTTCCGTCTGTTGATGTGATGTGTCACAGTGACTGATTTGCATATGCTGGACCCTCCTTGCATCACTAGGACAAACTGCGCTTGGTCATGACGAAGGAGTTTTTTTAATGTGTTGTTGAATTCTGTTTGCTAAGATTTCCTTGAGGATTTTTGCGTCTATAGTGATCAGAGCTATTGGCCTGTAGTTCTTTATTAATGTCTTTGTCTGGTTTTCATATTAGGGCAATACTGGCCTCATATGCAAGTTTAAAGTACTCCCTCCTCTTTTTTAAAAAAATTATTTTGAGGAGGATAGGTATTATTTCTACTTTAAATGTTTTTCATAACAGCAATGAAGCCATTGAGTCCTGGGATTTTTCTTCTCTGGGAGACCCTTTAGTACAGCTTCAAGGTTGTGACTTATTGGTCTGTTCACAGGTTGGATTTCTGCTGGGCAACACCAGAGTCAAAGGTGACCTTGAGTCTAGTCTTTGTGCAGCCAATATTGTGGCATCAGCCACTTGTGTTTGATGGAATGGAAACAGAGGCCCAGTTTCGAAACAGGAATGACTACTGGCCCAAAAGAAGGGCACCCTCCAGAAGCGTCTCTGGTCTCAAGGTTGTGCCAGCCTGCAGCAACTTGGCTAAAGGGATGAGTGGTGGGCAGGTAGTATAGATTTTGCTCCTAATCTGGTGTAATACAGCTGCATGAACTCCGTCCAGCACTCCAAATTGAGCTCAGGGTTTGCAAGGACTGTGGAATTATTTTGTAATTCCACAGGGAGGGGAGCATCACACACTGGGGTCTGTGGGGGGAGCTGGGGGAGGGAGAGTAGGGGGTGGGGAGTTGGGGAGGGATAATATGGGGAGAAATGCCAGATATAGGTGATGGGGAGAAAGGCAGCAAACCACATTGCCATGTATGTACCTATGCAACAATCTTGCATGTTCTTCACATGTACCCCAAAACATAAAATGCAATAAAATATATATTTAAAAAATAAAAAAGAATTGTTAATATGTGTGATTACAGTGGGGCAATCCAAATCCCCAAGAAAGGTTCTTCTACTTAAATTTTCTGACCAGGGATAATCCCACATGATTCTATGTCAATGTGAGCCTTCAAGTAGGAAGCTGCAGAGACAGGGTGACTTCACACAGCCCTACTGGACTTCTAATAACCACAGGGACCTCTCCTCTCCCCTGCTGTCCTCTTGGTCTCTCCCTTCAACATACCAGTCTAGTCTTAGCTGTTTATTCATTTTTGTGGTTATTTCATAAGGGGTTGAAAAATGTCAAGCACATTTAGTCAGCTGTCCTGCTGACATGTATTGTTGTTGTTGTTTTGTTGTTTTACTTTTACTTAATTTTTGTGTGGCTAACCTGGATGTTACAATTGGTAATGCAAATTTACAACAAAGTAACTTAAATTATGATTACCTTAGCTTCAGTAGAGCATACAGCTCTGCTTCTCTACAGCTCTCCATTTTTGTGTACTGTGCCGTTACATATTAGTACATTATAAATTACATGCACATTATTCAAATTTATAATTAACTTTATCTCCATAAATTATAGGCACATTATTTGAATTTATCATTACTCATATATCCATTTGTCTTAAATAATAAATGAATAGAACATGAGACTCTAGACAAAAATAAAATCATATTGGCTTTCCTTACACAAATGTGATTACTTTACTGGGATTCTTTTCTTGTTGTTGTTCTTTATAGGTGAAAGATTTTTAATTATCCTCCACTCTTTTTTCATTTCAGCCTGTAGGACTCTATTTAGTATTTCTCATTAGGAATTGGTGGTTTTGATGACTCCGTGGCTTTTGTTAATTTCTATTATCTTGAATTCTCCTTCAATTTTGCAGGTGTTCTTGCTGGTATGGAATTTTCGTTTGACAGTGTATATTAGCAGTTTTGATATGCCACTCCAGTGAGTTTTGCCTTTCTGATTTTTGGTGAGAAAACAGTTGTTAACTTTATTAAGGACCTATCCTAAGTAATAACTATGCCTTAGATTCTAAGGGCTCAAACATATCTGGTATTTTCAGACACAGGAAACTGATGTGAAGAGACGGGTCTCTAAAAGCATGCATAACGACACTCCACATGCACATAAACATGCTCACACTCTCACACACACTCAACACCATCACACATAGAGTCACACGTAATGACTCGCCTACACAAACACACACAGGGGCACACACTCACCAAGGAATGCAAGTAACACATTCACACTCAAATAGCCCTGCACACACAAGCATTCAATCAATTGCATTTGTAAAAGTTTGTTACACACACTCCCTCAAAAAAATCATGTTCATGCAAATTAATAGAATCAGATACTGAAGGGCTCACTCACACACATTCAATATAACATACACTTTTACAAACTAACTCACAGACACAGGCATGCACTATCTCTCACACACTCCTTCAAAGACACAGTCTAACAACCTCAAACTAAATTACTCATTTTAAAATAAAATACAGACACACACAAGCTCACACACACAATGATCCAAGTACACACAGACTCATATTAAGGCTATTCTGTAGTCACAGAATTGAGACAGCCGCCATCCCCTGTCTCCAAGGATATCATACTGTGGTAGAGGCTCAGCCCACCTTGTAGATTCTTCTCAGAGATGGCCAGGACTCCAGAGTTCAGGTTCTCATATGTTGTGTGACTTTTGGGATAATCCACACCTGAAACACTGAGTGGCTTTGTCTTCAACCACTTGATTATCACCTGTATGTTAGTTGATGCAATTGTTTACCTTGTTTTGAAGGAAATAAAGTAAATTCTGTCTTGCTAGGCTAGATCAGTGTATCTCTGTTCTCTTGGCAGCTTCAAATGTAGTCGAAAATAGGACAGTTTCAATAACTGCAGCTCTTACAATGCTTTCCTGGTCAGCTGGTCCAGCAGCATGGGGACTCCAGTAGAATACTCATTTTATGGTCCTAATTCTGTTTCCACTGTGGACACATTCCTTCTTATGTACCAGGACTTCCAGTCCATCAAAGCCTAGGATGATGGAGATGAAAATAAATATTTTTCAAATTTTCATCATAGATGTGGCAAGAAAACTGGATATTTTTGCCCATCGGTTTCCACACCCAGGTGTTGTAGCCGTTGACCACAAGGCACTATAATTCTCACTGTTGCAGGGAATTCACAACTCCCTGGATGATAGTATTGTCCTCAAAATTGACTTTTTTAGAGATTTTGTTTTCTATTATAAAACAGTGACAGAAAACATCTTGTGTAAATCTCACATCAGAATGTGGAGACTGAAGTAAATCCTTTCATTGTTCTACCGAGGTTTCTGTTTCTGTCCAAACGTGAAAGAGGAATGTCTGCTGGATCCCATGCTCACATTCCATAATCATATCTCCTACCCTGAAACAACAGCTGCTTTCCTTCATGTTGGAACATATTGTATAGTATTTAAGGCTAGGAAATGAAATATTCAGGAACTTGGACAGTGCACTAGTAGCTTCTATGTGATAAAAGAACACACACATGTAGAGATAACAGTCAATCCTTCTAAGTATAAATGACTACCTATCAAGTTTAGGCTTTATTTATATTATTCAAATTGTCTTCATTCACAGGTGGGTAACATTACAAGGTGTCATTATTTTGTTAGACAAATGTGATATCCATCACTAACAGCTCAGGCCCAGTTTGAGATGCTAGGACTGTCTGTTGGGAGGAATCTAAACTCAGTCTTCATTGCACATGTAAGGAAAAGCTCTGATATAAAGAGGGAGGACCCTGGAACTTGAGTAGAAACAATGATTAGCCTGCAGAGGATGTGGTACTATGAATTCTCCACACTGTCTGATCTACAAGAATAGATTTTCCTTACTTTCAGCTACTGGCTCCTTTATTTTTTACTTATTATTTATTGATTAATTTTTTAATGTACTTTAGGTTCTGGGGTACATGTGCAGATCTGCAGATCATGCAGGATTTTGGCATAGGTACGTACATGGCAAGGTGGTTTGCTGCCTTCATCTCTTTATCACCTATATCTGGTATTTCTCCCCTCATTATCTCTCCCCACCCTCCCCACTCCCACTGTACCTCCCTTAGCCCCCCATACTGACCCCAGTGTGTGATGCTTCCCTCCCTGTGTCCAGGTGTTCTCATTGTTCAACACCCACCTATGGGTAATAACATGTGGTGTTTGGTTTTCTGTTCTTGTGTCAGTTTGCGGAGAATGATGGTTTCCAGATTCATCCATGCCCCATGAAGAACATGAACTCATCATTTTTGAGGGCTGCATAGTATTCCATGGTATATATGTGCCACATTTTCTTTATCCAGTCATTGATGATGGACATTTGGGTTGGTTGCAGGTCTTTGCTATTGTAAACAGTACCCCAATGAACATACATGTGCATGTGTCTTTATAATAGAACAAATTATAATTCTTTGGGTATATACCCAGTAATGGGATTGCTGGGTCAAATGGCATTTCTATTTCTAGATCCTTGAGGAATCGCCACACTGTCTTCCACAATGGTTGAACTAATTTGCATTCCCACCAACAGTGGAAAAGTGTTCCTATTTCTCCACATCCTCACCAGCATCTGTTGTCTCCAGATTTTTTAATGGCTCCTTTATTTTAAATATTATTTTATTTATTTTTATTTTACTTTACATTCATTTTATCCTATTTCCTGAATATGTTAAAAAAAACGAAGTACCTATAAATTTTAAATTTAACAATCAATCATTAGTAGAAGTAACAAAAATAATGGTTATGAGGAAGATGCCAAGTAGAGAGTCCAGAAAATAAAACAAATAAATAAACAAGTTATGTATGTTTAGAGTGATACCTGAGGACACAAACTCTGAGAACCTTGTGCTGAATTGTGTATGAAGTTTAATTATATTTAATGTCCAAAATGCTGGTCATTTCAGTAAAAAAGAAATTTGTACATGGTCTGCTTATATAAGGAATTTGAAAGGGATGAAATCACAAACTTGCAAAACCAGGAGACACTTGGTGTATTCAGTATTCACCCTTTTCCATATTGCTAGGAAGAGAGAATGGATGGGCTATACCTTCCTGGGAAATGAGAGAAGTGGTTTTTAAGATGGTTCTCCAGGGGAGTTGTCAATTCAATCACTCCAACCATGCTCTGATACAGGATGGAAGAACTAGACTTGCTGAGTCTTCTGGCTTTCATTTTTCTATCATGCCAGATGCTTCTTGCCATGAAACATGATAACCCAAGTTCTTCAGCTTTTTCACTCTTGGGCTCACACCAGCGGTTTGCCAGGGGCTCTTCAGCCTTTGGCCACAGAATAAAGGCTGCACTGTTGGCTTCCCAACTTTTGAGCTTGTGGGACTCGGACTGGGTTCCTTGCTCCTCAGCTTGCAGATGGCCCATTAAGGGACTTGACCTGTGATGGTGTGAGTCAATACTCCTTAATAAACTCCCATTCAAATGTGTGCATCTATTCTATTAGTTCTGTCCCTCTAGAGAATCCTGTCTCATACAATGAGAAAAGTGAAGACGTCACTACATCTACCACATTTCACTGATGAGAACTTGTCCCACAGAGAGCAGGGGATGTGCAGAAAATAGAGAGGGGTTGGTGGATATTGTCCGTAAAAGAACAGACGCAGCGTAACTGAACTCCCCATGGAAGGAAGGTTTAAATGTTTGTTCAGAGCTAATGATGGCTTATGTCACGACCTCCACAAGGTTTCAGAAATAGTTTCTATTAACAAATGCAATACTTCATCTGGGTTTTCCCCCCATGGCTTATACTTGCTCTCTAGTCAGCACCAAAGAATGATGTCTTCAGAATTTTCCCTAATCTTCTGTGAACTCCTGGTGCAGTTCCTGGAAGAAAAGCCTGCATGGGGAAGGGAGCCCTCCTCATGTGCAGCCCTGAAGCCACCACACCATCTCATCAACCACCGCCCTTCAGTCACTTAGTCAACATTTCTGAGTTAACCTTCCTTAAACATGGCATTTGGCAGTGTCTTCCCTATTTTAAAAAATACTTAAGTTCTGTTTATCCCTGCAGACACCCATCCTTTCTGGAATGCAGGTTGTTTTGAGTGTGTAGTAATTGAAAATTGATAGAAGGTTCGTGTGCAACTTGTCATCTTACAGAGTGTACCCACCATGGGGTTGACACCAACAAGCAAGCAGGTGGACTCACTCAGCTGGAGAGCAAGGCATTTCCGTAGCCAGTGACCCCAGTGGGGCTCTCACCCTCCAAGACCAATCGGGCTCATTTCTCTGGCTAGTGTGCAGCCAACAAGGGGGACCAGTGCCCGCCCAGGAGAGGGTTACTTCTATTTACCTCCCATTTTCTAAATGGAAACTATTGCTTCTGCCTGAAATGCATGTATGTGTTTTTATTTTCTGTAAAAGGGACTCACACAGAAACACCCACGAAACATTACAGTGAATCTAATGGAACTATAGAGAACCATACATGATGTGCCTCATGGCCATGGTCTCCACTTCTCATTGAAGAACATTCCTGATGGGATTCACCAGAACTTGCTGGCTTTCCATAGACATGGATCTACCTCTAAGCACTTTGGGACCTTAACCTCTGAGAAGGGACAGAAATTACAGAACCAATAAGAAATATCCATTTTATGAATCCTCTAAGGAGGACTCCTAATAGGAATAGCCCCACCCACTTTTCCTATAACTGGCATCATTCCCAGGAACCCACTTCAAGAACCTGTGGTACTTCAAGATAATTTAAGCTTGGTATGCCAAGGAACAGCTAGAAGAGGAAAGAACCGATCTGTCCATGTAAGCTCATTCTTTCTAACATATTTATGACTCTGGAGCAGGACAGTTATAGTGGGGCAGGCTGTGCATATATGAAGAGGGGCACAGGGGAGCTCTCTGCACCTTCTGTTCAATTTTGCTGTGGTCTTAAAACTACTTTTTGATACATTTTATGTAAAAAGGGTGGCAGAGACATTTTGGAATACATTTTGGCCAGTTTTTAGGAATGATATTTAGTCTTAGTCCTGTTATGAGCAATTGTGCTCCAAATTATTTATCTATCTGATTTTAAAACTTATGTCTGCCAAAGTCTCCATGGGAAACTTTCCATCAGCTTGATTGATTGTTGCCTTTACCATTCTGAGAATCTTGCATATACAGCCACCTTTGAAAGAAATATTTCCCATATAGTGTGCATACATGTTTCTATTACTCATGTTCCTCAATTGCTTAGCCCATTTTCTAAACAACTTTAAAGATTGTAAGCCCTGTAATCTCAAAATCAGTGCCGCTGCCCTCTTCCTGGGGTTTCTGACACTCTCAGGATGTGGTTTTCACACTGTGTCTCTCGCACAGTAATACACGGCTGTATCCTCAGATCTCAGGCTGCTCAGCTCCATGTAGGCTGTGCTTGTGGATGTGTCCCTGGTTATGGTGACTCTGCCCTGGAACTTCTGTGCGTACTTTGTGTTACCATTGTAAGGGTTGATCCATCCCATCCACTCAAGCCCTTGTCCAGGGGCCTGTCGCACCCAGTGCATATAGTAGCTGGTAAAGGTGTATCCAGAAGCCTTGCAGGAGACCTTCACTGAGGACCCAGGCTTCTTCACTTCAGCCCCAGATTCCACCAGCTGCACCTGGGAGTGGGCACCTGTGGAGAAGAGACAGGAGTGAGTGAAGTCTCACTTGACTGCCCTGGTTACTCCCTCAGCCCTGGGACTGGGGAGCCCCTTACCTGTTGCCGCTGCCACCAAGAAGAGGATCCTCCAGGTCCAGTCCATGGTGAGGAGCTGTGCTCTAGAGGCTTCTCTCGAGGAGGGGTGTGGTTGTTGGGTGATGCTCTCAGTCACAGAGATCTCTATATTCACCTCAGTTATTTGCATATTTATGAAGGATGCTATTTAATAGCCCAATTCCTGACCCAGTATGAGAAAGAGCAAATATATGACACATGGACGATACAACTGTAGAAGCTGAGGGTTCAAGGCATAATCCTGTTAGAAACCATGTGTCCCCAACACATCCCTGAACTTTGTGTTGACAGAGCTTCCCTCACTGGGTAACAAGCTTCCCCAGGACACACATGTCATTTTGAACCCACATTTGAATGTCTCAGGGGCAACTTGAACCATTTCTAGACCTTAATATGCTAACGTGTTATTTTGGGAATGAGTATATTTCTCCAAAAATTTCTCTTATTTATGAGAAAGAACCTCTTCCTGATCTCCAACTGCTTACTATTAAGAGATTTAGCTGAATTTGAAATCCCCATTGTAAAAGTGGTTCTCATTATAACATCCAGTTTGATAAATGCTCACAATTGAACAGGATATTTTTTACAAACATCGCCAGTTCTTGTGAAATACTAATTTTAGATATCCTTAAAGGAAGTCCCAGGCCCTGAGAGGAACCCCTCCCCAGCCTCCTGTGCACCTGCTCTGGGGCAGCAGCCTGTGCTGGGTGTGTCCTGAGCGCCCCCTGCAGCCCAGTCCCAACCCTGCAGGGATGTTTCTCTCTGATCAGAATATATTCCCACCAGTGTCTCTAGCCCAGTATAAATTGGCTGTGCCCTGGCTCGGAATTCTCCTTTATTGATGCGATAGACCTCTCACAGCATCTTTTGGAATATTAAATTGGCCCTAGGAAACCAGCGAACTCTGCAGGGAAACCCCAAGAAAAGATCTCCTGCATCACCAGGGAGCCCTTTCCTGGAGCTCAAGAGGCAGTGAATCATTGGACAAATGATGAATCCAAAAACTCTTCAGGAATTTGGAGGAGACTCCTATTTCATTTAGGGTCCTGCAGTTTGTTATTGCATCTTAGAATACCTGCAGGTGCAAGTGCTGTGGCTAGAAGCCCACTCCAAATCTGCTATTCAAATCACACACGCACACACACACACTGTGGCAAATTTTTATTTTTACATGAATGGATCCCATTGAGAAGTGCCTGCACATTGAATTCACCTGGTCTCATTTTGGAACTCTGCAGATGCCCCGTGGAAAGTAAATTTGAGACCATGAAGGTGAAATCATTTTATTGAAGTTGCTGGTGTCAGCCGCTCCAAATTGCTCTATTTACCTTAACATTTTTTCTCCTATTTTCCTCATCAGATAGACTTTGTGCATCACCACACTCTCGTATTTAACCCATGTTGACTAAACTGGTGAGAACATAATGTGTGGAACACGGAAGCGTTACATGTTCTTACAGCTGAATTGCAATGCTGTAGTGGTCTCCTTTCTCTGGGCTGTGACCTATACAGGAAGTCTCCAGGTGTGAAGCTGATTGTTGCTCTTTTGTGGCTGGAACATCACAGGAAAATTTTCTTAAATGTACCCCTATTGGCTAATTTTACCAATTTTCATGATACAGGAAGGCTGTTGGTATGGGTTTGTCATGGGGATGGGTTACTTTCCTCACACAGATGAGGATCTAAAAACGCCCTTCCCATGTTTTCTCTTTCTGAAGGAGGCCTGGGTGTATTTATCAGAGATTAGGTGTCCTGGTAACAGAGCCGTGCAGGGATCTATGTGGATTCTCACCCTGAAAACCTGGAGTTTCCTGAAGGAAACGGCAATGAGAGCATGGGGGGTGGGGCTCCCAGCATCTCTCACCCTCATGCTAGTCCTGACATGCCCTTTATGTTCATTTAGTTCAGAATTTCATATAACAAACCACGCAGCCAAGCTCATTTAAATTATTTATGCTCAGGTCATATTGGAGCAGCAGCTGAGTATAATAATCACATTGCACTCAGACAAATCTGGGTCCAATCCAATTTTTACTGTAGCTCAGAGCAGCTTTACTGACTCACTTAAGTTGGAGATTATTTCTTCCCTGAAAGAACTGTAAGAGTTGTTATGGAGCCCCTGTGGGGTTAGATTTCTTTGTGTCGGCCTGTCATGCAGGGTATTCTGAATGATGTAGACCTTTAAATTTAGATAGTAATTTTTCCTGGTTGTCTAACAGTGTGTAGATGCCTGCCCCTCCTTCCTGTGGCTCCTGCTCTGGCCATGTGATGTGCCTGCTCCCCTTTGTCCTCTGCTGTGATTCTAAGTATCCTGAGTCTCCCCAGTAGGAGAATCTGCTACACTTCCTGTAAGCCGGCAGAACCGTGAGTCAATTAAACATCTTTATTTTTTCAAATTACTCCGTCTCAGGCGTTTATTTATAGCAATGTGAGAATGGAATGATACGTCATGAAAACATAAAGTGGTGCACCTTAAACATACACATTTATATTTTTCCTATTATAACCCAATACAACTGAAAAATTTAAACTTACTCTTACGATCAAGAAATGCATACTTTATATTTTCTTAATAAAAATAAGGTAACATAGAAAAACTTACACTAAGGTATTGTAACAGCTTTGCTTATGATACTCATAAACTGGAAAAAAATTAAAGTTCACTGACGAAAAATAGATCAACATATTGTTATGTATTTACTTAATGTAGTGACTCAGATATAAAATCTCTGTCCTTCCCCTTTCTCTCTGTCTCTATTTTGTTAAAATAAAAGTATTCTCTTACCAACATCAAATAAAAGTGGAGTCTTACCAAAAATGCCTATAATGTTAGATTCTATTTATACGAAGTTCAAAACTGAAAAACATGGATCCATAGTGTCAGAAATCAAAACACTTCTCCATGTAAGTGTTGACTGCAAGCACAGGGAAAGACCCGTGTTTGGGGGATGAACTTGCTCTTCAGGCTACCTTAGGTGTTGGGGACAAGGGTACTCACATTTGACAGAAACTCTCTAGTGGTACATTTCAGATCTATGTATTCTTCTTATATATACATTTTATCTTGTAAAACATGAAATAAAAAAGTATAAAATACTTTAAAATTCAGCAAATAATAAAAATAACATTAAAATCTTATCCAAAATATGAACATGAATTAATAAAGTACATTCTAGTATACCTACTAAAAGTAAATTCCAGAAACCAAAAAGATAAGGGTAACATCATAGAGAAACAAAAGTAGTCAAGACATATGATGAACACGTATTATTTTTTCCAATCAAATGTCTTTAAATTATTTATACAAGATTTTAGCCTGTGTCATAAGTATAAATTACTATATTGTGTTATATTACAACTGAGAACAACTTTTACAGAGAAAAGAATATTTGAAAACATATAAACGAAGTGGAATTTATCCTCAATGTTGGTCCAACGATTACACCTCAAAGTTCTAATAATACTCTGATTTTGAGTGGGTCTTTGGAAAATTAATTTTAAGAGATAAAAGAATAATGTGTAATAAAGAGACATCAACATCCCATATCAGAAAGAAATTGAAAATATGTAATACAAATAAAGTCCTGAGAAGAAACCTTAAACCATTGGAAGAGTCTCATGTATAGTAGGTTGTAACATGTTTATTGTTAAAATTATCAAGTTTATGTTGTTTTTAAAAATTAAAGCAAAACATAATAAAATGAAGTGTTTGTGTGTTTATTTGGTGCAGCAGAATGTTGAGAAAACTGAAGATCCCTGTAATTTTGAGGAGGTGGCCTAACCCAAGGAGAGAGAGGCTTCAGGTCCTGTGTATACACATGGTTTTTCTGATTGTGCCCATTGAAGAGAAAGAAGCATGATTGAGTTACTTAGGACGATCCAATCAGATCTAGATGGGTAGTAAAAATTCATGACCCAAGATGGATTAAAAAATATAATTAAAGTTTCATTAAAAAATGGGAAATTTTAGTTGTATATATTTATGGGGAACAAAGCTATGTTATAATTTGTGAATACAATATGGAATAACTGAATTAAACTAATCGACACATATATTACCTCTCTGTGACTATGGTCAACTCCTGCGTGGGTAAGTGTTTTGATTTATGGCACTGTAAATCCATGTTTTTCTGTTTTGAGCTTCATATAAATGGAATGTAACATTATAGACCTTTTTTGGTAGGGACTACTTTTGCTATTTTTGAGGTGTATTCATACCTCAAATTTACAAATCTTTGTCATTCTTGTGACTAGAACGTTTGAAATTTGTCCTTGACTTTTTAAATGACCAATACATTATATTTAAGCTTACAAATAGACATCAATTTATGTAAACCATAGAGAATCATTGAAATCAACTATAGATAACTCTAATAATTTATATTTAGTTTATCATTAAGGTTAATTCTTTAGGACATATTTTAGAATTGTTCAATTATAATGTTAGATATAAATTACTACACATGTATGTGTAGGTTTGTGTATTTGCATATATGTCTATAGATGTAAATTAATGTCCCTATAGCTATGTAGTTGCTGATATCGACAGATGTTAATAAAGGTCTAGAAGAATAAGTGCAAATAACTGGGAAGAATTATTTCTTGAAGCTATGTATCTTTAAAAATAACCCTACATACAAATTTTAAAATTACAAAAACACAAACATCCCTGAAAATATTATATATGTATATTATAAATATATTATAACTAAAAATAATAAAATACTGTAAACTTATAGGACTCCAGAGTCCTGCAAAAAGAAATCCGCTTCTTGCCTCTGAGAAAGAGGACCCTCCCCCTGCACCTGCTCCCGGGGCATGTCCCGTCCTCAGTGGCCCCGCGCGCCCCTGCAGGAGGTTTGTGTCCGGGTTCACACGGGCCTCCCCTCACTGTGTCTCCCACAGTAATACACGGCCGTGTCCTCGGCTCTCAGGCTGCTCATTTGCAGATACAGCGAGTTCTTGGAATCATCTCTTGAGATGGTGAATCGGCCTTTCACAGACGCGGCGTATTCTGCTGTCCCACCATTGGCTTTGGTTCTAATTAAACCTACCCACTCCAGCCCCTTCCCCGGAGCCTGGCGGGCCCAGTGCATGTAGTAGTCACTGAAGGTGAATCCAGAGGCCGCACAGGAGAGTCTCAGAGACCCCCCAGGCTGGACCAAGCCTCCCCCAGACTCCACCAGCTGCTCCTCACACTGGACACCTGCAAACACAGAGACACCCTTGTCATTAACTGCCACACATATCCACTGTCCTCTCGCTCATGTCCACACACACTCAGTATCTCTAGTTCTCCATAAATCACCTTTAAAAATGGCAACAAGGAAAACCCAGCTCAGCCCAGACTCCATGGTGAGTCCTCTGTGTTCAGTGCTGATCAACGAATGGAAACACCCGAGAATCCCGGAGCTGGGCTCCTCTGCCAGAGCTGCAGGGTCAGGGCTGCCCTGGTTTTCATCAGCATAGGGCAGACCCTATTTGCATGTCTCCTCCTATACAGCGAGTTCTAGAAGGGATGCCCAGAGGAGCTGTATCCCAGAGTGGATGTGAGTGATTATACTTCATAAATAATTCTCATTAGCATTTCTACTTGTAGATGCACAAGAAGTATGTTCTGTGGGAGTCCAATTTTCCTACATTTACACATGTGAATGTCAACCCCCAAGTGTGGAGGGGCCATGTCACATGTCTCAGAGCTCACATCCGGTAAGAGCCAGTCTCAGTGCCCGGCCTGTGTTCCTCAGGACTGGATCTGACTGCCCCCTAGATTAACTCTAGGACAGAACAAGAAATTTCCAGTGAGGTTTACAAAACTCTCTTCTTATAATAATATCATGACATTATTTGGCTATATCTTAGTGTTTTTCTTAATAATACAGAAAACTGAGTATTAATTCACGTATGTATTCAGTAGCCTGTGACTTCTTTGTATTATTTTTATCTCTTGTAATCGTTTTCTACCAAACCATACATTTTTATTTGTAGTAGTTTTAATGAGGTCATATTGACAAATAACAATCTTCACACAAATATTTACATAATCATCACCATTCACAGAGAAAACAAATCAGTTACTCCACAATTTTCTCTTTTTCTCCTGGAATTTCCCCTGCCTACACCTTTCATCCTTTCACCATGGAGAAGTCAGTTTGGGATCTTTGTGATGTAATTTGCAATAAATATTCAATTTGTATGGTTTATAAAATTGAATTATATGTATGTGCTTTGGCTCATTATACTTGTCGTAAGTACTTGTGAATTTAACCATGCTGTTGATTGTATCCAACATTAATTGATTGTAGTAGTGGGTACTATGCCAATATATGAGTTTCCCAAAATTTGTTTACTGATAAAACTGTTGATTAATATTTTGATTATTTTCAGTTTCTGTGTATTTCAGACAAAGCTGCTGCTCAGCTTAGAGGACTACACAGCTGAGAAACATGTCGTTAATCTTACAACAACATGAACAACAGCTAAACTGGTCAAGCTGCAAATGAATCCGTTTTCTTTAAAATTCATCATGTAATTGAAGTTATAGCACCCTGTGTATTTATCAGTGTATGTGAAAGAAAGAAAGAGTGAGGAAAGGAGATTGAAAAAGAAAGTGTTTCTACATAATCTTTAATTTATGAAATCTTCAAATACAGGAACTTATTCCTAATGAACAGGTTCCACGTAAGTTGAAGAGGGTAACTTGATGCACTCACGTATGGCTATATATTTATAATATAAATATTAGTTTCCAAACACGTAAACACTCATACCCATTAGAGTAGATGTAGTGGAGGGTGTCTAGTGGTGGAATGAGAAGATGCCACAAAACCCCATCTCCAGTGCCTTTCCCTGCCTACTGCACCTGCCCTGATGCTGAGCCTTGATCCTGCCTGACCACTGAGCCCCACAATGGTCCTGAGCCCCCATGTGGTGCCAAGTGCCCCCTGAGTTTCCCTGGTGGTTCCTGAGTTTCAGCTTCTGTTTCAGCACCCCCTGCTGTCCTGTGAACCCCCACAGGAAGGTGTGTGTCTGGGTTCACACCGGTGTCCCCCACACTGTGTCTTTTGCTTGAAAACACACGGTTGTGTGCTTGTTGCTCACATTGCTCAGCTGTAGGAAGATATGTTTTTTGGACACAGATCTGGAGGCGGTGACTGGACCCTAGAGGAGTGGGTTGGAATTTTTCTCCCTTCATGATCTGTGCACCTGACCAACTCCAGTCCCTCCCCTGGGGCTGATTGATCCAGATCCAGCAAGAAGCACTGGTTGTGATGCGGAATCCAGTATTAAAACTGAAATGTTATTGTTGTTGATTCATTAAACAGAATGTGCCATGTTGATTTTAGTGCCGCGTCTTTATAGATATGGCTGATTAACTTCAGAAGCACTGGTAACTTATAGACACTGAGAAGTAGGAGTGGCTGTAGGTGACTCTGCCTTTGGTACATGTGAGAAAGTTTTTCTCTTGTTACAACAAATGTTTCTTCTTCAGAGACTTCACAGGTAAGAACAGGATAAGGAATCCAGAGAAGTGCCCCAGAGGAAACTATTTTATGGAGAGGAAGCCAGAGTGACAGGAAACCAGGCCTTAACCCCATCTGCCCCTGCCCTGAGGCTGGCTTTTGTGCAGAGTGTCCTGAGCGCCCCCCAGTGGTCCTGTGCCCACTTCAGGGAGGCTTGTTTATGGGCTCACACTGACTTTTTTTTCTAATACTTTCCCCCCCACACAAAGACAGAGTAAACCATGAATCTATGCATCTCAGGAATAAAGAACAGCAGGATAACACCCCTGTACCCCACCCCAAACACATTTAGGTAAATCTTATTAAAACTGCTGAAAACCAAAGACAAATAGAAATACATTCAGGCAAGTGGACGTGAACAGAGGGGGCATTCCTTCCAAAAGAACAGAAAAGATGATGACAGCATTCTTCTGGTTAAAACCTTACAAGCTAGAGGAAAGTCGATGGTATCTATAAAGTGCTGGAAGGAAAGTCAACTCATTGTTTTATAATTTATGGATGTTCTCTAAAAAGTGAAAAAATAAACAGTTTCACTTCTCCTTGAAAGCATGAGGGTCTCAATGAAACCATGCCCTCATGAGACCAGTGAAAATAATTTTGAAAAATTACAGGGTTTGGAAAGGCCCTAACAGCATACAGCAAGTAAAAAAGCATTTATTCAAGAAAATTTAGAAAACTCAGTAAGGCCAGTCATCACATTAGATCTAAGATGCTCTTCCTACCTTCCACATCCCAGCTCAGCATGATGTAAACTCCACTGCAGACAGATGCAGCCAAGAAGACAGGACACCTGCTACCCAGCTCCCATGGAGGAATCTCTTCCCCAGGAGCCAGGACATTGGCCCTCTGACCTTGCCAAGAGCACACGATGCTGAGGCTCGGTTCTGGACAAGAGCTAATGAGAAACAGAGAGTCACTTCTTCCATGGACCCAATCATGGATGGAGGCTCTGCCCTGGGCCCAGTGCCAGGACATTGGGTCCCTGATTTCTAGCTCTGCTCCTATCTCGTGGGCTTCACCCCACGAGAACTGGAATGCTGAGAAGGTGAGAAGCTCCTGTCTAAACCTCCACTCAGCACTCAGCTTCTATGCTGAGGAAGAAAAAAGCTCATCATTGTCTCCATCTGCAGAACCTTGGTTAGGAGCTCTGTCCCAGGAGAGAGTGGGTGCTGGCATTTAATCATAAAATATGACCCTTAATTTGGTTCCAAACATCCTAACTTCAGTAATGACAGAATGTGGAAAGGTTCAAAACCTACCAGCGTTCTCAAAAGCAGTGGAGGGTGTCATGAAAGGTCCTTGAAAGGAGATGGGTGGATGCGTGGGAGATGCAGGCTGAACCGAGAAGGGGGAGGGCTGGGGGATGTTCTCTTGTGGTTGGAACAAATGCCAGACATTGTTCAAAGTGTCCCACGTTTGTTTGGTTCAGTCTGTGAAAGAATGGAACCTCAGTCTGCAAGTGGTTGAGCTCAACATCTGGACCTGGTTAGGAAAGTGACAGAGAAAGCCCAGCCCAAACCACTGACGCCTGAGGGTGACCATGGCACCTACAGCTGTGTCCCTTTGATCTTTGGGACTTGCTTCTCTCACTTAGTCTCATGTCTGGAGTCCACCTGTAATGGTTAGTCATTTGCTATTTTTTATTGCTGATGGTATTCAATTGATAGATACTTCCTACTTCCTTACCCATTCAACTTTTGAGACATTCATGTCATTTTTAGTTTCTAATGCACACACACATACACACACACACACACACACACACACACACACGTGTAACATCTTAAATATTTGAATACAAGTTTTGTGTGAATATAGTATTGTATTTCTGTGATGCAAATATTAGGGAGTGGGATATTTAGGTCATGTTTTAAGAGCATTTTTGATTTAAAAAAAACTAAAAATCATTGCCCTGAGTAGCTGTTTCATTTTGCATTCCCATTAGCAATGTTGTAGGCTCTAGGAAACTGGCATGCTCACCAGCATTGGTATTATCTGTATTTCTTCTTAATTTCAGCCATTTAAAAAGTGTATAGTGGTGTCTCATTGTGGGCTTGATTTGAATTTCTCTAATGAAAGATCCTGTTGAGAGCCTGCACATCTTCTTCAGTGAAATGTCGGCAGAAATCATTGCCTAGTTTATCCGTGGGTTATTTTTTGTTTTTTGTTTCTTGTTTTATTTTTCTTTTGCAGTTGAGTTCTGAGAGTTCTTATTAAAATTACGTTGGTGCTTATATGATTTGCAAATAGTTCTCATTTGAAACTTGACATTCATTTCCATATAGTAAGAAAAAATTTTTTAATTTAATAAGGTTCAACTGATATTAATGTTATTTATTTATCATATATTAAATTTTAATTTTTGATAATTGGTCAACTGTTATTTTATATTTTTAATTGTATTTGTTTACACATTTATTTGTATAAATGTAAGAGCTATGAGTGAATCATTTGCATTTGGATATATTACACCGTGGCCTTGGCTTTTAGTGTACTGTCACCCAAATCATGTACATTGTACCCATCAGGTGATGCCTCATCACGCCCCCACCTTCCACCCTCCTATCCTTCTAAGTCTCCACGTCCATCATTTCTCACCCCATGTCCTTGTGTACACATTGTTACCTCCCACTTATAGTTCAGTAAGTATAATGTCCTCCAGTTCTATGCATCTTGCTGCAAAAGACAGTTTCATTCTTTATTGTGGCTGATTAGTATTGAATTGGGTGTACATGCTACATTCTTTCATAAAATCATCTGTTGGGTGACACTCGGGTTGACATGTATGATATTGAGAATAGTTTTGTGGTAAAGATAGAAGTGTGGGTATCTTTTTGAAATAATGATTTATTTTCCTTTGCGTAGTTACCCAGTAGTGGGATTGCTGAGTCAAATGGCAGGTCTATTTCTAGTTATTTTTGGAAATCTCCATACCATTATCCACGGAAGTTGTATTTGTCCACATCCTCATCAACAGTGTCTAAGAGTTCCCTTTCCTATCCATATTCAGCAACATCTGATATTTTTGAGTTTCTAGCAATAGTCATTTTGACTGGTGTCAGTCAAGAGCTTGTTGTGGTTTTAATTTTTATTTCCCTGATGGTTAGTGATGTTGAGCATTGTTTGTGTATGTAGTATCCATTTTTAGGTGTTCTTTTTA